ACAGGCATGGTGTATTACAGGTAACATCCAAATTATAAACATTTATGTACTAAAAGTCTGTAAGTTGGAAGTCTAAACTAAATGTGCATTTATATAGTGAGTTAATCATAAATAATCTTGAAGACTGGTAGATTATGAGCATAAACACAGACGTGGCATGACCTACTTGGGGAAAATGGCCCCGCCCCAGAAGCGAATGTCTCCTGGCCCATTGTCCCACCCTAGATGGGGGTGGACCATGGGGGAGGGTGTTCTAACCTAAACACTGACTGAGGAGGCTGTGACGCCTGGCAGTGATGCACAGTAGCAGGTTCAGTCATGGCAGCCACTCAGGGAAGGGCCACTCAGGAGTTAGAAACGCCTGCTTGATATGCTGGAAGCTTCTCAAATAACAATCAACCAAAGGTAATCATGTGGAATCCGGGGGCTGAGAGCCACTTGACGGCTTAGCTTGTGCGTTCAGGAAGGCATTTGACAGACTGTTAGGCACTGTTCTTTCACATAGTCATTCACTTACTGTGATAGTGGGACACGCAGTGTTTGTTCAGTCGTGTTGCTGAATTAGAGTGAGAGGAACCTCGGCACACGCAGGAGATCGGTTCGAGGGCATGTCCAGGATTCGTGCATACTCCAGTCCTGCCTGTAGGAAAGTCGACCCTCCTCTAGGTGGGTTTGTGTCCTGCTAACACTGCATTCTCCAATCGTTTGGTTGGAAAGAAAATCAGTGCATCAGTGGACCCGTGTAGGTCACACTTGCGTTGCTTAAGAGTCAACTGTGTATTGGATTTCAAAAATATATTGTTTCCACAACCAGCATTAGAATTCCAAAGTTAAATGATTTCTCTGGACTTTCTAAGTATTGAAAGTATTTATTAGGAGGAAATTGTTTAACTGAACCAAGCAGCAGAAGAAAGCATGCTGAAAAGTATGAGTTCTAACTATCAAATATATGCCTGGACATCTAGAAGAGCAATTCACTGTTTTAAAATTCTATATATGAGTTCTTAAAACATGTTTACTCTTGATGGAATGTAATGATTGATGTTTGACTAATAATCCTAGGAAACTGAAGCGTAGCACCCATCATGCATAAATTTACTGCAAGGTCTTTTACGTCAGCCTCACTTTACAAACTAAATATGCAGCAGGAAGATTATCCAATCGAATTTTAATAACTTGATTTATATTTTACATGCAGTGGGATAACTTAAGTCAATTGGCAGAGCAAGTAACTTCCTTAAGGAACATGACGGCTTAGTCGTTCAGCATGTACTAAGTGCTTACCCTTGAGTTCAGAGTAGGCTCTGGGAATTTCAGAATGAATGACATGCCTTCCCCTGACCTCGGGGAGTTCACAGACTAGTGGTTGGGACAAACACATGAGTGATTTTCATAGAACCCAGGAAGCATAATGATTTGCATACCTGTCATGTCAGTTGTTCAGGAAATACAGAAGAAAGGATGCCATCCGAGTAGAGTTGGGGGCATGGGGCCTTTCCAGAAGGTTCCTGGAGGGGGCGCCAGGAGTTAGCAAGGCCCAAAGAGGAGGGATTACGTTCCCAGCAGAGGTGACACTCGAGGCTCCTGACTAACAAGCAACTTGGTTTGTACACGAACTTGCAAACCGTGATTTGATTTGAAGGAGACAGCTGTGTGCAGTGAACCAGGTGGGAGCTTGAAGTAGCCAGCAGAGAGGTAGTCAGCAAGGGATATTTGAAATGGAGTCAGAGCCGGGTACAAAGTTGAGAAGCATGAGGGGGCAAAGCGACCAGATTGGGATCAGCCAGCTGAGAGGAGGAGAGTGAGAGCAAGGCAATGCTCGTCTCCCACTCACAGGGCGCTGGCCGTCGAGATCGAAGTGGAGAAGCAGGAGCGTCTGGCCCCACTCCCAGCCTGCCCTGCCCGCCTGCCCCTCCTCCCCAGCAGGCAGCCCTGCCCTCGCCTCCTCAGGGACATGTCATTCTGTCCCTCAACCAGCTGCTCTCTGGCCCCTCACCTGTCCTTTTTCTCTCTCCTGAGCTCTCCTGGTTCAAGGTTGATCCTCCCCACCCCAGCACTGCAGTTTGACTAAGAAATCTCTCAACACATGTCGCACACAGCCCGGCTCTCTGAATCCAGTGGAATTGCCCTTGAAGTTCCATCGCCTAGACCTGCAGTGTCTTCACTGGGAACCCTGCACATGTGCACTGGGGCACCTCAAAAGATTATAAGATTCCCAAAAGATTGGGAAACAGTGACACGTGACATCTCTCAGGCATCATGCAAACTGCGAGCTCCAGGCAGTCCAAGCTGCTCATGTGTCTGTTCTTAACATTAGTTCCCCTGCGTCATCTCAGCTAGGCCATGCCTTGTGGAGCTGGGTTTTCCATGCCTGCTGTGACAAAAAAGTCAGTGTGGAACAGGAAAGGACAGAGACTGCGTCCACTGTGACTCCAAGGGTGGAAAACTTGCGCAGCACTCAACAGGTGCACATGTGCCGTTATTTAGTACTCATGATTAGTTAAGAACGAAACAGAAATATTTTTTCTTTCAATATGAGTGTTATTTAAGTGGCTTCTACGCAGTTGAGACATAGATACTGAGTTGCTTAGTCCCCATGATTTTAGAACACGGAATTGACTCATTCCTTTTGGCTTGGAAGAGACCATGAAACATTCACAGGAGCGCTGAAGGCACTGGGAAGGTCCGACCTACACCCTGGTGCCACCGCACAGACCCCATGGCCTTCACCACTACCTAGCTTGGGGGCTGTAGGGACAGGACCAGCATGGGACAGATGCCCGCAATGAATTGTGCCTAAGGCGAACTTGTACAGATCGGAACCATTAGAAAGATGTTCCTTTCGCAGGAAAGTGACCCTTGAGATTGACTTCTTGTGCTGTTTTTAACACATGGGCCAAAACTCCCTGCTAAAACTCTTACTATAGCTCCCAAAGCAGCAGCTTTGCAGTATCCAGCTAAGGCAACATGAGTTAATACTGTGCGAAGTTGTTCTTGTCTGTTGGCTGCTTCCTGTGGAAATATTTCCAGTTTGGGGACTTGTGATTAAAAAGACCCAAGCTATTCTGAGTTTTTTAAATTGTTATATATAAAAATGTAAAGTGTAACCTTGCCAACTAAATTATAAATCATCTTAATCTGTTATTGAACTGACTTAAGATTTTTAATTTATTTAGACTATTTGGTCCTCAAATTTTACATATTTATTTATTTTTAAAATTATAGTTTTCAAAAACATTATAGTTTTCTTTTAAAGATAGACTTATAGTAAATAACAAGTAGTTATAATATTAATTTGGAAAATTCAGAAAAATTAAATTTGTAATCATTCTTAATTCTACTTGGCCCATAATTCCAAAAACAATCATTTTGTTGCTGCCTCCAGCCTTTTTTTCTTTTTTTTTTCCCCTTCCAAGTAGCTGGAACTATAGTCACGTGCTACTACACCTGGCTAACTCATGTTTAATTTTAAAAAGGAATCAAATGATACAATAGTTTTGTAGTGGGAATCTTACAGAGAGAGACGGGACACAGAGGCCAGTTTGCCAGGAAACAGCATTTATTTGTGCCAGCACTGGCTCAGTGGATTCACAACCAAAGGCTGAGCAGGCCTTTTTTCTGTTTACGTTATTGCACAACTAAAATTAAACTATAGGCCGGGCACAGTGGCTCACACCTGTAATCCTAGCCCTCTGGGAGGCCGAGGCGGGGTGATCACTAGAGCCCAGGAGTTTGAGACCAGCTTGGGCAACATAGAAGACCTGGTCTTTACAAAAAAACAGAAAAACTAGCCAGGTGTGGTGGCACGTGCAGTCCCAGCTACTCAGAGACTGAGGCAGAAGGAGGGCCCGAGCCCTGGAGGTCGAGGCTATGGTAAACCATGATCATGCCACTGCACTCCATCCTGGGCAACAGAGTGAGACCCCTACCTATATTTATATATATTTATATATTTACCTAAATATTTTTCCTATAAAGGAAAAAATTATACTGTAGATACAATATTGTTTCCTGCTTTTTCACAGACTAATGGCTAACATTTGGTGGTGATTCTGTGCCAGAAATTAAGTGCTCTACCAGCACTTTTTAATCCGGTTCTAAGAATTATACCTGCCTGTAATTCTAAAGGAGAAATAAAACATTCATATACTACCAATAATAATTTGCTCTATTTTAGATTTAGGGGGTCCTCAAGCGTGCCTGTTACCTGGACATATTTTATAGTGGTTGGGATTGGGTCTCAGGCGGCCCACCACCCAAATAGTACCCGTCAGTGGTGTTTGAACCCTAACTACCAGTAGTAAACCTTTTAAACATATCATAATTATTATGATTTCTGAAGTGTTTGGTTGCCCCCTCCATTCTGCAGATTGTCTTAAATAACTCAATTATCACTAAATCATCAACCACCTCCAGTGCTAGGTACTGTCTAAGGCAAACTCAGAGCCCCATTCGGACTCCTGTAGGGTTTTATGATTTTAGAATAATCTTGTATAAATCATACAGTACATGTACACACAGCAAAATACATATTTAGGCTTTGTGTTTCAAGTGGTATCGGCTTACTCTAGTACTATTGGCCTTGGGGTCCTGCAGGAACTTCACCTCTGTGGTTAGACAAAACTGGGTTCAGAACTCAGCATTCCGGTTTGAACTGCACCATTATTTTGCAGAGTTTCGGACTATCCAACTGTATTGCTTTACTTAAAGGCTTACATTCTAGCCAGCATGTATTTTAGTGTAGTTAAAAACAAAAACAAGAAAAGCAGCCACCTTTTTGAGTGTCCCTTGCAAGTTGACCTGCTTACAGTGAAAGCTTCCCAGTAATCTACAGCTGGGCTCCATCATCCAGGCTTGTTTGGAAGACCTTGTATTATAAAGCTTGTATTTCTGGGAAGACTGTGGGTTAAACGTCCTTGTAGATTTCATGTGAAATGGGTAAGAGCGCCTGATGCCCAACTCCTTTGTTCTGACGCTTCCTTCTGCTGTGCTCTTAACAGCTTCATCACTGGCCCTGCTGTCATCCCGGGGTACTTCTCGGTGGACGTGGATAACGTGGTCCTCGTCTTAAATGGCAGAGAAAAAGCAAAGATCTTCTATGCCACCCAGTGGTTACTTTATGCGCAAAATCTCGTGCAGCTGCAAAAACTGAAGCATCTTGCAGTGGTTTTGCTTGGAAATGAACAGTGCAGTAACGACTGGATAAGCCCCTTCCTCAGGAGAAATGGAGGCGTCGTGGAGCTCCTTTTCATCGTCTATGACAGCCCCTGGATTAACGACGTGGACATTTTTCAGTGGCCTTTGGGGGTGGCAACGTAAGTACAAGATACGGTGGCACGTTTCTAGACTCTGAGAGCTGGATTTCTGAATCAAGAAGGGTATGTTTTAAGCTGTAATGAACTTAGTTCTTCTGGGACCATTGAGGCCAGGTAGTCTTTCCCAGAGGTTTGAAAATGGATGTAGGCTGATACTTCCGTGACGATAATGATGTTTTTAATGTTCTATACTTTTATGAGGGAAGCAGATGAGTTACCTTTTGGGGGGTTTTTGTTGCTGTTTTTGTTTTTGAGTCAGAGTCTCACTCTGTTGCCCAGGTTGGAGTGCAGTGGGATGCTCACGGCCACCACAGCCTCGACCTGCTGCACTTAGGTGATCCTTCCAAGTAACTGGAACTACCTGTATGTGCCACCATGTCTGGCTAATTTTTGATTTATTGTAGAGACAAGGTCTCTCCAAGTTGCCCGGTCTGGTCTCGAAACTCTGGGCTCAGGCAGTCCTCTTGCCTCAGCCTCCCAAAGTGCTGGGATTGCCGGTGTGAGCCACTGTGCCCGGCCTCTTTTTTTGTTTTAAAACCTCAATGCATAGGATGGATTTTCAAGCTTGTTAGGAGTCCCCTAAAGAGATGTTTAGCATAGAATGGCAGTCAGAGTCTATATAATTCACAGTTAAAAAAAAAAAACAAAACACTTACTTGAAAGGCATTGTTTAGAGGACTCAGTAGTATGGGGTCTGGAACTGGCTGAATTTGTACCATTCCCATATGTAAAAGGAGGGAACTGGCTGGGTGCGGTGGCTCAGGCCTGTGATCTCAGCACTTTGGGAGACTGTGGCAAGAGGATTGCCTGAGCCCAGGCTGGGTTTGTGACCAACCTGGGCAGCTTGGTAAGACCTCATCTCTACAGCATATCAAAAAATTAGCCAGGTGTGGTAGCGCATGCCTGTAATTCTGGCTACCTAGAAGGCTGAGGCGGAAAGATTGCCGGAGTCCCAGCAGGTCGACACTGGGGTAGCCGTGAGCATGCCACTGCACTCTAGCCTGGGCGACAGAATGAGACTCCAACTCAAAAAAAAAA